TCTCTCTTTATTATGTGTGTGTGTATTTATATATATATATATATATATATATATATATATATATATATATATATATATCCTCCCCCCCCTCAAGAAAAAAGTTTGAACGCCAGAACCAATCTTTATGAAAATTGGTGTGTATATCAAGGCACCTGAGCCCATCTCAGTGACTCAATTCTCATATCCTCTACATGAATAATACCAACATTGCAGACTCCGAAATTGTTGCTGTGATAACCTTAATATTACATGAATGCCCGAACTAATCTTCACGAGACTTGGTAGGTATATCGAACCATATGACATAATCTCAGAGGCTTACTTCATAAATTTCTCAAATCTTTAATACCAACATTGCAGGTACTCATATTGCTATAATAACCGTAGTAATACTTGAATGCCAGAACGGGTCGTGATGAAATTTTGTATGCATGTCGTGACGCACCAGCCCGTCTCAGCGGCCCACGATTAATATCAGCATTACAGCCTCTTAGCATACTTTCCTTATTTTGAGAAAACGAAAGTTGGTTTATGCGATCTCGATGCTGCGTGTATCCTTCCCTATCAACTTTTGAATGGCTGGACCGATCTTTTTGGAACTTGGCATGTATATCATGACACCTGATTTCATCTCAACGCGGACTTTATAAATCCCTGCAATCAGTCCGTTTGTCTGCTTTTATGTGTGTATTCCCCTATCGTTGCTGAGCAACAGCTCCCTAAAAACTGACAGCGGCAACGAATACACACCCAGCAACATAAGAATTGCTGGACGCGTCGTTTTCAGTGCGGTCCGTGTCGTATCATGGAATGTAGGCGTTTAATTCTTCCCAGAATTTCTTGTTTTTTTTTTTTAAGTTCATTACTCATGCATACTGAAGTTTCTGCTTGTTTCAGCTACTCAGATTATAGTGAAAGGAAAGTAAGTGATGAGTCATTCCAAGAACTTCTTGTTAATATCGATATACTTTGGAATTTCAGGTTTTAGTCTGAGAGCCGGAAGAACAGTTGGTAGTTAAGATAGGCATTAAAGAGGCAAGAGCTATCCGAAACCAGCCTCATAATAGAGTCCATTTGCTAGATTTTGTGAATTCGGCAATGAAGACCGGCTCTGTGACCCCAGCCTCCAATCCAAAGGGTACCGGGGACTCTTTCCCCGGATAAAGCGACCGGGGCGTGAAGCTGACGACTCACCTCCAACTAGTGCCGAGGTCGAGAAAATGTGGGTCTATACAACCAGTGCCCCATACGCCTTCATGGCATAATGGTTAAATAGTTAAGCACAGGGTAAACTTTACCTTACCGTTTTTCTTAGAAGTGAAAGCAGGAACATTCGTAATTCCTGCCTTTCGAAATATTTTTATTTCTAAGTTTCCGAAATTTTTATTCTCTAACATTTCCGAATACTGGAAGATTTTCGCGAAGATTCTCAGATATTTCGAATCGTTGCAATTAATAAAGATTTTAACTTTAGACAATAACTGAAATGTTACAATTTTTCGAAAAAAAAATTCGTTTTTCAGACAATCGTAATTTGTTACTTGTTACTTTTTTTTAATGTGTTCAGTTTATTCAATTCTATAAAATAAATCCACTGGCATATGTTACTGTGCACTCACTGTTTCAGAGTCTGCTTAGATTCCTATAGAAATGAAGAGGAATGACGTATTAGTTAATAACAGTATTTGTCATCGTTTCCATAACTCTGCTTCAGTTTATTAAACTAGTTAACAATAATTTTAAAAATTTTAAAGTGCTTGTATAAAGTGTAGTAGATTTTCATTTTATATGGGTCTTCACGCCCTGTTACAAGGATAGCTTTACGTTTTTTTTTCTGAATGAAGGTTAACTGTAACGGTGTATGCATAATTGTAACCCTGTTTACACTGATGCTCTGAATGACTTCCTGAGTCAGCTGCACATGCAAGCCGAGCGGACCCTTCACGTGATAGAGACGACATGCGCACAAATACCTTAATGGCAGCGTCTGAGACTGGAGTGCTGGAATAAACCTGATTCCAATTTAGATAGGAAAGATTTGCTGTTATCTACATATTTTTTTTTATTTTAGAGCATAAAATCTATCCAGAGAACAATTTCTGTACGAGTGAAAATTGTTTTTAGTAATCTCAATAAATAAAGTATGTCAGGAATAACTGACCTCGAACAGGTTCAAACGTTCTTCTAAAATAGCTACATTTCTAACAGCTTCCTATAGTAATAGTAAGGTACAGTTTTCCCTGTGCTCAACGAGTTAAGCGCTACGCCATGAATGCATGTGAGGGAATGGATGTATGAAACTTCACTTTTTCGTCGCCTCTTAACGACTCGCAGGGTCACGGTGGGCGTATTCGACCCCGCCTTCACACGGGTTAGACTCTCACTTACTCTTCTGCTTATAACATCTCGGCCCGGACTTCACAGAAAACACCGTTCCTCTGTTGCTTGTTTCAGATTGTTTCTCTTGTTTGCGAAGCCGTTACTAAGTAACGGCTGTTGCATAGCATCTTTCGCGGTCGTTGCCTAGCAACGGGTCTACATTCCACATTATTGTTGTGCATGAAGCAG